GGCCCCCAAGTATGAGTGTAGCAATACCAGCAATTTAGATATGCCAAAGAAAAGCCATCAAGTGCTTCCAGTGAAAAGCTGTGTATGTATGGGAAAAAAACAGAGTAAATATAGAAAGACCTGATGCTTGCAACCATACTAAAGATGCTGTAAAACCCCAGCCACTCCTTTTAAGTATCTTGTTTTATAGATTTTAGAGAGAGAGAGAGAGAGGGAGAAAACATCAATGTGAAGAAAAAACATCAATCAATTGCCCCCTGTACAAGTCCCAACCAGGGATCGAATCCACAACCTGGGTTATGTGCCCTAACCAGGAATCGGAGACCTTTCAGTGTACAAGCCCATGCTCCAACCACCTGAGCCATGCTGGCCAGGCCCCAGCTACTTCTGATTCCCCGACAAGGAATTTCATGTTTTCTCTCTCAGCAAGGAAAAGCCAAGGATTGTTTCTATCTCATGTCTTCAGTTTTCTGCCCCCTAAGTCTCAGTATCTTTCCTCCGATCTCTCTTAGCTATCCCGTTCTAAAGTAGCAAGAAAAGCTGTGAAAGTCAGTGATATTTTTCCCACCATGGGTAGTACTTGTAGCATTCCTTAAGGAAACTACAAAACTATATTTAAAATAATTAAATTAGAAAACCAAGCTCTCATCCTAATCTACATATTGCAAAGAGTGACAGAGCTTCAGGGAGCAACACTGCAGACAGAAGAAAAAAGCTCTACATTGTCTTGCCAAGACTTGTCTTCCTACTTTCCCAGAAAGGCAAGGAATAGAAAAAAAATTGTAAGGAAAAGAAAGGAATGAATGGCTGGAGCAAAATTCGTGTTCTTCCTATCTCCAACTTGGAATGTTTCTCATTAAAGAAAACTTTCTCATCTGTATGTATCCAAAGATATGTTTCACCAGTATATCCATAGTAATAAAAGCATAATATGCTAATTAGACCGGATATCCCGGATCACCTTCCAGATGAAGCTGGTGCAGAAGCTGGTGCAAGCAGCCGGGGGAAGGCCTACTCTTGCAAGAATTTCGTTAATTGGGCCTATAGTTTTTATATAATTTACATCAAAACTGGATTTTTTTAATTTTTATTTTATTTTTTGTTGATAGAATAAACTCTAATGAAAAAAGCTGAGAATCTGTAGATTGCTATCCCAACTTAATTTTCCATATTCCCCATTTCAGAAATGTAAAATGAATATTCTAATAAAATTTTCTCATTATACTAGGAGTACTATTCAATTTGGAAGCCTGCCATTTTAATGAACAAATATTTTTCTCCCAGTACAACAAACAAAAGTGTGAACATGAAATGCTTGGGTCTAAATAATGGTTTAAAATCTGAGAATATTGTGGAATATAATGACCAACATAAACAGATGAACAAAAACAGACCCAGAGACAGAGAAGCATCAATCAGACTATCAAACCTCAGAGAAGGTAGGGAAGGTTGGGCATAAGCGGGAGAGATCAACCAAAGGACTTGTATGCATGAATATAGGTAAGCCTAATCAATGGACACAGACACCAGGGGGGTGAGGGTATATGTGGGGGAGCAATGAGGGAATAAGGACACATATGTAATAACTTAATAAAGAAAAATATTAAAAAATAATAAAATCTGGGAATAGTACAGGGAAATATTAAATTATGAATTTTAGAAATAAAATTAAGAATCCTATCTTAACATGTATTACCTAAGTAATGATAGTGAAACAAAGTTTTAAGTTATCCTCCTCCTAAACTGCCAGGCATTGAGCTCTAACTACAAATCTTATAGCTGGAAAAATATGACATATTTTTTCTTGCTGTGAAATTTTCTCAAAAATACTATCAGACACACACCAATTAAAAATAGCTTAACAGATTAATGTGAAAGTGCTTAAAAGTAAGTTGAGCTGCTTAAAATGCTTGAGAAAATGAATGATTAGAAGAGAATTAAGTGATGTGTGAAGTACAGAAATTAGATATAGGCAAATTATATGACAATGCAAATATTTATTTTCAGTTTACATTTGGGAGAAGACAGTCCAAATTCCAAAGATAATTAAGGAACCATATGAAATGCCACCTTAGAGAAATACAACCCCAAAATTTATACTTATATATTCTAGTTCTGTTGCTTATAACTTCCAAAATTTAAGGGCCTCTATCAGTTCTACAGTTTACAAAAGAAAAGCATGGCCGAAACCAGTTTGGCTCAGTGGATAGAGCGTCGGTCTGAGGACTTTAGGATCCCAGGTTCAATTCTGGTCAAGGGCATGTACATTGGTTACGGGCACATCCCCGGTGTGTGTGTGTGGGGGGTGCTAGAAGCAGCTGGTCGATATTTCTCTCTCATCGATGTTTCTCGCTATCTCTCTCCCTTCCTCTCTGTAAAAAAAATCAATAAAATATATATATTTTTAAAACAATCTATTTAAAAGAAAAAAGAAAAGCATTCAAGTAAAGATATCATAAAAGTTGATTATACCTGGAGAAAAAAAAAGCTTTTTTTCCTTTACAAGTTGGGTTTTGCTTTCAGTATTAAAATTAAGATCAAGATTACAGTATATACAAAAATAGTATCCAGTGGATGATTATGTGTTTTGGAGAGCAGAAACTTCAAAATGATTAGAAAAAATAGTAAGTATCATACACTGCACTCATGAAATTGTAGGTTAGACAGAAAAATGGTGAATGTCCATAGACGAAAATGTCATGTCGGACAGGATTAAATTTGGCTTAACTGAAGTAATTTGGTCACCTATTATGAATGAACTCTTGTTAGCCAAAGATTATTTTTTTGATGTTCAACTTCTGATATATCCTATCCTGGGTAAGACCTTTCGTTTTCATCAAGATATTCTTATTTCAGGCATTTCCAAAATGAGAATAGCACCAGAATAATCTCTATCTCTATCATCTCTGTATTAGCAAAAATAGACCACTTTTACTCTCCATCCTGAAATATTTTACTTAGCAATGACTACAAAGGTGACATCGTTCTATTTAATAATGAAATTAAACAACTGCTATAACTTTCACATCAAAGTTATAAGAACTATGTTCATTCAGCGTTAGATGCCCACAGACTGGATCTAGTGTTTGTATGTAAAAAGTACTCAACAGGTATTAATGAACTGATGGTACTAATTTGTGACAAATGACGGATTAACAAGTCTCAAAAAACAAATACAGCAGATTCAAGAATAATATGCACAGTATGTCCTCTTATAGAATACTAGTGGCCCAGTGCACAAAATTGCATGCAATAGGCCGCCTGATGCAGGAGCTGTTGGGAGCCGCACCGCTTCTGAGGGAGGTGGGAGCAAGCCCCCGGCACCCTAGGAGGGAGCCTCTGCTGCCTGTGGGAGTCAGGAGGGAGTCTCTGCCTTCTCCAGCAGGAGCTGGAGGAACCAAGAGGTTCTCCATACATCTCCTGGTGACCAGTTGTGCATAGCCCTGCCCACCCATGTGCGCCTGATGCACACCCAGCCTCCTCCTGATTGACTCATTCGCATATTAGCTCTTTTATTATATAGGATTTTAAAACTTCCACAATAATACTACAAGCTTCCAGAGTTAAGCACATAATGGAAGGGTGATTACTGAATTTTATGCTGGCAAGGAGTGAGGGCAATAGCATCAGGAAATGCATAGAAGTCCTGAATTGTTCTTATTTGGATCTAAGTCAAATATTATAATACTAATTTTTACAAAAGAGGACAATGGGCATCAATGTTCATTACCTTATTCTCTTCTTGTCTACCTATTTACATAGTTTCTAAAAAAAGCAAGCACCAGACATTTTTGCAGGAACAATCAGCAGTATATTGATGGATCAACAGGATTTACCAGCTAATTATCTATTTTAGGACCATTATTAATTTGAAGATCAATAATCTGTGCATCTTATTTTTATAGTTGCAATATATAGTTGTGATGCACCTTAGATTTTTAATAAAGTGGACTTCCATTTTTTAAAGAAGTTAAAATTTATATGAGAATATTTCAATTACAAAAAAATTGCCTTACATTGCCTGATTTAGTCAAAGCTGCTTCAAATCCCAAACTTTTATCATTAATGACTGATTGTTTATCAACATGAAGAGTAGAAAAGACCAAGAATTTTGTTTTGTTTAATCCTCACCAGAGGATCTTTTTTTCATTGATTTTTTTTTAGAAAGTGTAAGGGAGGGAAGAGACAAAGAGAAATACTGATGTCTCACACTCAGTATTGCTGGCTCCACTCCCCACCCGCACACTCCGACAGGGTGGGGAGTGGAGCCAGCAACTGAAGTATGTGCTCTTCAGGGGAATCAAAACCACAACCCTTTAGTCTGCCGGCCAATGCTCTCACCACTGAGTCAAACCTGCCGGGCAAGAATTCTGCTTATTATAGCAAAAACTTTCATGGTATTTGACAGAATTCAGAGCTCTTTTTAAAAATGGGTTCATATCTGTGAAACTAAGTCAGCCAGAATAAAGTCTTTGTTTTAAAAAAGAGCCTGACCAGTATGGTTCAGTAACTGAGCATTGACTCCTGAGGTCAAGGCTTGATGCCTGGTCAGGGCACATGCTCAGGTTTTCGGCTCAGTCTCCAGTAGGGGTCATGCAGGAGGCAGCCAATTGATATTTCTCTCTCTATCCCTTCCTCTCTGAATAAACAAAAATAAAAAAAAATTAGGCAACCAAAATGTATTTCAAAAGATATAATAGCAAAATTGATTTTAACAGCTGATTCTACTACATTTTGAAAATGAAATATCTTTTTATAAACATTGCTTTTATAATTACTCAAAATGTATACATTTTTTGGGACACCCTGTATAAAAACCAAAGCAAAGTGACAGAATGCTAAAAACTGCTAAGCAATGGATTAAAGAAACTTTGCTAATAGTCCTCTTTGTCCTTCTATTGTTATATATATAAATTAGGTATGATAATTAAACACTGGCCTTGTAGGACTTAATAGAAGTCTAAAAGTAATTATTAAAAAGTCTTCAAATACTTTATAAATACTATTAACAAAAACATTTATTGTATTTTATTTTTTGTCTTTCTTCAATGAAAGTGTCCCTTTACATCAGACTGCTTCATATTGTTTCGAATTCTCAGAGATCTTAGTTTTCTTCCAAAATGATATTCCCAGTTTATCAAAATATTTCTGATTATGAAAGATGATACTAGTACTATGCTACTTGAGGGGGAAAAAGAGAGAATTGCAGCACAACTGGTAAAGTTCCTGGACTTGGTTCAATCAAGTTATGGATCATTCAACTGACATACTTTGTTACTCTAGCATTTTCAAGCATTATTTTGAAAACATATTCTCAGTGTGAGATTTCTTGTAAAAATAGGAAGAATTTAACTTCTGTAAACATTTGCAATGCCACCTATTTCTTTGAATATTTTTCCCCTTGAGAGAGCTGCTCCAGTGAAGAATTGTTGCTTACACGTTCATGTCCAGATTTAAAAAGAAACTCAATGTTTTTCTATGAAGACAGAAATGCCCAAGTAATGTGAAAGCTTTCTGTAACCAGGGATTGCCCACCTATTCCAAGCATGTAATCACACCCTATAGATTCCTGATAAATTAAAAATGTTCTCCAGTTACTCATAGTTCGTCAGATGTGTTGTTCACCTTTGGTATTTGACATTCTTCACTGGTATGACAACTCTGAAGGATGTCCTTGTAGTGGTCCTTCAGATCATCATACAAAGAAGCAGTTTCTTGCGAGTTAGCCAATGGTAACACCTTTTCATTCAATAGCATCTGCACTCGGAATTCTTCTTTAGGAGTCTTAGCATTTTCACAATGGTAAAGCACAAATATCAGGTTTGAGGCATAAGGTACAATGTGACCGCTTCGGAACTTCCGATGCATTTGCTCCTTGTAATTGTATGCTGTGAGGGGCTCCTTGTCTTTGAAGTAGCCCATGAGTGAAAGCAGTGGAAGAAGGGTCTCTGCATGACCAAACTGAAGGATGACTGGAGAAGAAATTGGCTGAGACCTTAAATGAGAAATTGAGAAAAAGAATGTCTATGTATCTGTGTCAAAGAAAATAATTTCTACACTTAGAAGCATACAACATTCTCATCAACAAGTGTTTGTAAGCCTCTCTTCTTAACTGGTACACATTAAGCAGGGCATCTAAAGCATCTAAAGCCTTGTATTTATTTCCAAGAAGCATCCCCTTAGGTCCCCAAAGCAGAATCATTCAGACCATAACTATATTTGATTTCACCTGCATAAATAGTTTTCAATTTTGCATTATTTTGTCAGTATTTCAAAACTAGGTGATTTCAGATTCTTACAAATCCAGATTTTTTTTTTTTTTTTGGCTCCTCTTGAAAAAATGAAAGATCGGGCAACATATATATTCACACAAGGCAATAATCAATATAACAGGAATGAGGATTACCCTCCAGAGGGGACATAAATGTGTTACACAGGACATACATCACTCCATGCTATCTCACATAGGATATTTCATTAGTTCCCAGATCTCTTTATACATTTGAGCATATGCAAATCAAAGCTAATACCACTTCCATAATGTAAATATAATGCAATTTAATAGTGATACAAGTTAAAGAAAAAGAAATACTGGTTTACAGTTTAAGTCCTCTAGCCATGATGCAATAACTCCAAAGCTGGGACCCATTCTAAGAATCAATGTTTTTTAAAATTTCATTCTTCTTGATTTTTGCATTTCAAGAAAAAATACAGAGCTCACTGAATGTCTAGTTTGGGTTTTAAGAGTAAGAAGCAGAATTTAGCACACTTTTAAATAAATTACAAGATCTAAAAGAATGTTAGGTATTTTTTGCATTAACTCAAAAGTATTTCCATTAAATAACAGCTTAAACTATGAGTCACTTGTCTCAAACATAACTGCTTTTCTTCACTATTCTACTTTATAAGCTGAAATTCAACTTAGTAATCTTTAGTGGTTCAAGTGTTGAAACTAGAATATATATGACAAAGCAATCTTCTTCAAGGAGTAAAACACCTAACTAATAATTATGACAAAGGAGCAATGACAATACATTGCTCCTTTGGAGCAATGGAGCAAATAGTCTTTGCAACAAATAGTGCAGGAATACTAAACATCCACATGCAAAAACAATGAATTTGGACAGATCTTAGACTCTTCACAAAAATTAACTAAAAAAGGATCATAGACCTAAATGTAAAACTCAATACAATAAAACTCCTAGCAGATGACAAAGGAGAAAACTTAGATAACCTTGGATATGGCAATGACTTTTATATATAACACCAAAGGCATGATCCATGAAAGTTAACTGATAAGCTAATCTTAATTAAAATTAAAAAAACAAAACTCTCCTCTGCTAAAGTCAATGTCAAGAGAATGAGAAGACAAGTCACAAACTGGGAGAAAATATTTGCAAAAGACACCTATGACAAAGGACTGTTATCTAAAATATACAAATAATTCTTAAGACTTAACAATAAAGAACAACCCAATTAAAAGATGGGCAAAAAACTGGCTGGTGTGGCTCAGAGGTTGAGCATGGATGGACCAAAGAACCAAAAGGTCCTTGGTTTGATTCCCAGTCAGGGCACATGCCTGGGATTGCAGGCTCAATCCCCAGTGGGGGGCGTGCAGGAGGCAGCCGATCAGTGTTTCTATTTATCCATCTCCCTTCCTCTCTCAACTTTCTCTTAAATTAATAAAGATATATATTTTTTAAATGGGCAAAAGACCTGGAAAGCTCACCAAAGAAGATATACAGATGGCAAGTAAGTAAATGAAAAGGTGCTCCACATCATGTCAGTAAGGAATTACAAATTATAACAAGATACCACTACACATCAAAATCCAGAAAGTTGACATCACCAAGTGCTGACAATAGGAGTTCATTCAATCACTGCTGGTATGAATGCAAAATGATATAGCTGCCCTAGCTTGAGTGGCTCAGTGGATAGAGCATCAGCATGCAGATAGAAGGGTCCCAGGTTCAATTCTGGTCAAGGGCTCAAGCCCAGGTTGCAAGCTCCAGTATAGGGTGTGCAGGTGGTAGCTGATCAATAATTCTCTCTCATCATTGATGTTTCTATCTCCTTCTCCCTCTCCCTTCCTCTCTGAAATCAATAAAACAATATATAAAAAATAAAAGGGCTTAATGGCATCTTATTAAAAAAATGATATAGCCATTGTGGAAATCAGTTTGATAGTTTCTGACACAAGTAAACATACTTTTGCCACATGATCCTTATATTCCTTGGTATTTATGCAAGTAAATTAAAAACATATCTATACAAAAACCTAAACATGGACATTTACAGAAGCTTTTTTTTCATAAATGTCAAAACTTAGAAGCAACCAAGATGTTACTTAGTAGGTGAATGGATAAATAAATGGTGGTACATCCAGATAATAAAACATTCAGTGCTAAAAAGAAACAAACTCTCAAGCCATGAAAAGACATGGAGGAAACTTAACTGCATATTACTAAGTGAAAAAAGCCAATCTGAAAAGGCTACATAGCATATGATTCCAACTATATGACATTCTCAAAAAGGTAAAACTATGAAAACAGTAAAAAGATCAGTGCTTCCAAGGGGTTGGAGTTGGAGGAGGATGAATAGGGCAAAGAACAGAGGATTTGTAGGGCAGTGAAACTATTCTGTATAATGGGTACATGTCATTAAGCATTTGTCCAAACCCAGAGAATGTGCAACACCAAGAGTGAACTCTAATGCAAACTAGTACTGACTTTGGTGATAATGATGTTTCGTTGGAGGATTATCAATAACGAATGGACCACTGTGATATAGAATGTCAATAGTAAGGGGTAGGCAAAGGAGTGTATGGGAAAAGAACTCTCTGTACTTTCTGCTCAATTTTGCTATAAACCTAAAACTAATCTAAAGAAGAGTTTATTAAAAACAAAACAAACAACAAAAAACCTACTGTCATGGGAATATATATGACTCAAAAGTGGTTATTTTTATTCCAAAGAGTTAACATAATCCATCTTAAACAGCTGCTCATGCTTATACCAGTTTACCCTTTCAGATGACTTACATTTCAATTTTTCTTTACAAAGTAGCATTAAATGTTAAATGGAAAAATACTTCTATTCTAAATTATATCCAAACATCAAAACTGGAGACTTAAATATCTTCAATTAGTGGGAGTTAAAGAGTTATGGAATTTGTGTGTGGTCACAAATACAGGTAGGGCTTTTTTATTGGTTTTTATAACTCTAAAGATGTCAAAGTAAATACACGAGAGTCTTTATGATCTAATTTTTATCAAAGGCCATTAAAAGTATGTGCCAAGTTTCTGTAAAATAAATCAGTATTTCTGTTAAGTAAGTTGTTCCTTTCAGGAACACACTATTTTTTGCTCTGTCTCCCAACAAAGAGTGTCACACATCTGCTAGGCTCTTGAGATCTATACCCAAGTCCCAAGGAAGGACATTCTAAAAAATGTAAAGTATCAATACAAATATAAGAAAACAAGTGATTAATCTATATGAATGTATATATAGAAATACACTGTTGGAATAAATGTTTTAGTGTAGAGAAGTAGTCAAATTATCTCATTTTAGAAATAAGAAAGACAAGTGAATTGCCTAATGTTATCTAGCAAGATAAGAATTCAGTGCTCCAAATTACAGCCTTCTTTTACTATTATAAGCTGGTAAAATTTTATTAAACCTTTAATTAAAAGTGAAATTTAATTTGAAGTCTAAAATTCTGTTGTTAAATAAAGGCTGATTACTATATGTTTTTCAAAATAGGTAAAACACTCCAAAAAAAGCACTTCAAATCATTCAAAAAGTTCAACCAGAAAAACAATCAATAATTGCATGTTTTTCCCCTAAATATACTCATCTTAGATCTTTCTAAGCTCTTAATTCAAGTTTCACACTCAACTAATGTTATGAAAGAAGTGTTTTTAAACATGATCCAAATAATCCCATTACTTATGTAAGTGCACAAATAAGCAACATGAACTGCCAGAAATATGAGTAGCTTTGGGAAGAAAATTAACAGAAATTTTTTTTTTATCTTCTTATACATCTGATTGAAATATCAGCTCCAATGAGGCATCTGGAGAAGCATCTGTCTGACAGCTTAACACAAATGTAGAACTAAAATGGCTCAAGCATAAAGACTTTTTTTCAAGCAAAGACATAAAAATAAATTCTGCTTCCATTCAAGATGGAATAACAGGGACCAATCTACCTTCCTGCCTTGAACTACTGTAAAATCAGACAAAATATAAGAGCATTTTTCAGACATTCAACAATAGAGTAAGAGTGAAGGAAGGCAAATCAGGTGAATCCCAACAAGTGTCCCAGATTACTGCCTGGAGTTTCCAGGCTGCAGCACAGAGAAGGGGAGCCCCGCAAAATATGAAAGGCAGCTCAATATCATTCATTTTTAGGGAAATGCAAACTAAAACCAAATAAGATACTATAAAATACCCATTATAAAAGCTAAAATTAAAAAGATCTACTATACCAAGTATTTATTAGGATGAAGAATAATAGGAACTCTCATACATTGGTGGGAAGACATTGGCAGTTTCTTAAAAAGTTAAACATACAACTATATATGACTCGGCTATTCTAGCTCTAGATATTATCCAAGAGAAATGATGTGCATATGTCCATATAAAGATCACAAAGGTCCATAGGAGCTTTATTTTTAATAGCCTCAAGCTGGAAACAACCCAAATGCCCATCATAAGGAGAGGGGAGAAACAAATTGTGGTGTACCCATGGAGGGAATATTCCTCAGCCTTAAAAAGGAATTAACTATTGATAGCCACAGCAATATGGATAAATCGCATAATATTGAGCTGAGTGAAAGAAGCAAAAAAAATAATAAAAATGTATGTATTATGATTCCAGTATATAAAATTCTAAAAAAAACACACAAATTAATTTATAGCGTCAGAAAGCAGATCAGTGGTTGCCCAGTTTGGAATGGGTGTGGGGTAGGGAGGGTGGAAAGTAGATTACAAAGAATCACAAAGAAATCTTTGCATGTGACGGATATTTCATTACCATAATTTTGGTAACAATTTCATGGGTATAAACATATATAAAAACTCATCAATTTGAACACTTTAAGTATGTGCTGTTTATATCAACTATACCTCAATAAGGCTATTTAAAAAAATAAAAAATATTAAGGGTTGATAGGCTGAGGTTAGTGACAGAAGTTTTCAATAACCAATCTCAAAGATTCCTCCCTCCCATCAAGCCTTTATCAAACCCCAGTTCAAATTTATTCTCCTTCAGCACTTTTTTTTTTTTTTAGTGATTTTACAAATATCCTCCAAACCAGACATGAGTTCTTTGAGACAGTAATTTAAATGTATTCACCTTTTGCCTGCATAAGCTGTTAGAACGGAGTAATACTGAAATTTAGGAAAGCACGTAGGAGGCAGGTACTAAAATCTAGGAGAAAATATTAGCTAGCATAAACTGAGCTGGTAGTGATACCTATGTAATTAGCTAGGGATTGGTAATAGGAAAGGAGCAAAGGGAAGGCCAGACATTAAAAGCGTGGCCATTGGGCAGCTTGCAGATCACTGGGGGTAAAGGAGTCCAACAAAGGGGACACAGATGCATATACAGTGAAGCTGGGGTGACTAGGGAAGGTACTTGTCTGACTGTCAAGCCTGGAGAACCATGGATTGGCCAGAATGGGTGCAGCCAATGCAAGCCTGTGAACATTTAGGAAGACATAATCCCTAAACAAAGAAACCGTCTCTCTTACTGCTCTTGGCTCACGGAGCTCTCTTGTACCCGGTTCTTCCCATTTCCCCTGTAGGGCCCACAGCCATGCAGACTCCACACACAATGGACTAATGGACTGAAGTTGGGAACACAAGCTAAGCTAGTCTGATACTGGACTGGAGTGTGCAAATATGGAAAAAAATTCTAGACACTGGCTCTGATTTCAGCCCTGATAAGGCAAAATGGGACTTCTTCTTTGGTGGTAATGAGGGAAATTAAACCTTGAAAACTAAAGAATTTGAAATAAAACTTTCCACAGAAATAAAACTTTCTACAATATCTCATCATCCCCTGTGAATCTCAGAAAATTCATTTTCTCAGGATATAGCAAGAAGCCCACTCCCATTAGTAACAGATGGACACTACTTTCACCAATAACAGTAGCAGTGGGGGTGAAGAAAAGTGGGAGATTGATATAAAACTGGAAGTCAAAAGAAAAAAAATCACAATATTATGAGTAGATGTAGTAGATGAGATAGACAGTAAAAATAATGCATGGGTTTGTGCTTGGCTGCCTGGGAGGTTGATGGTGTCATTGACTAAAACAGGGAATACTGAAGAAAAAGAACTGTGGATAGTCCTTCATATCCACTGAGCATTCCAACTGCATTCCTCACTTGTTCATAGGCACTGAGGAGAGAGCAGTGAAATAAACAAAGTTCCACTGAGAGTCAAAAAGTATCTTTCCAGAAGCAACTTGGCCATTTGAATCTGCATTCAGAGTACATTGCTTTTTCCCCTCATTTAGATCGTCTCTTTCAATAACTAGCACTAAAACTGAGTTGGCACCTCCTGGTAGACTGAGCTAAAATTCCCTGGAACACTGACTTCAGAAAGTTAGCAAAAAGATCATTAAAAATAGGTTCTGAGGCCGAAACCGGTTTGGCTCAGTGGTGGAGCGTCGGTCTGCGGACTGAAGGGTCCCGGGGTTCGATTCCGGTCAAGGGCATGTACCTTGGTTGCGGGCACATCCCTGGTAGGGGGTGTGCAAGAGGCAGCTGGTAGATGTTACTCTCTCATCGACGTTTCTAGCTCTCTATCTCTCTCCCTTTCTCTCTGTAAAATATCAATAAAATATATTTTTAAAAAAAATAGGTTCTGAGGACTTAGAATCTACATGCATTTCTAAGAACTTTAAAAGACAAAGCTCTCCTATTAAAGTGGGCTAATTAACCAAATGGCTATTTTATACATTTATTTCAATGCTGCCATCTTATGTTAAAATATGGAACTACACAACCTTAAAAGCCATACCCTTATCCAGTGGAAATCTGAAAATACCAGAGATTTGAGAGTCAATAAAAAGTTAGAAAAAGGATAATGAAAGTTATTCAATGAAAATAACAAATATTTATAGCAATTAATTTTGGTGTCTGAAAGTATCACTCACAAAAAGATCTCATGAGGCAAGCAATTACATTCCAGAATATAAACTTTACTTTGAAAAAGCAGAATAGAAATACACTGATAGAAATAATGGGTAAGGAAATAGTAGAATAAAATGCAGGTACATCACATTTCTTTGTTAAATTCATTCTGTTTTTCTAATCATAGCCGCCCAAAAAGCAACAATGGTTAAATAGCAAATCTAGGCTGTTTTGCTGAGTAGAGCCAAATACACAAGCAAAACCTATTTTTAAAAATCACCCATAAAAAAATATTTTCCATAAGCTTAACTGGGCATTCAGAATATACATCATGCCCTGTCAGTGTGGCTCAGATGGTTGGATATCATCCTGTACTCCAAAAGGCCTTGGGTTCGATTCCAAAAGGCTCGAGTTATAGGTTTGATGCCTGGTGGGGGTACATGCAAGAGATAACAAATCAATGTTTCTCTCTCTCTCAAATCAATAAACATGTCCTCAGGTGAAGATTTAAAAAAAAATTATTTTTTAAGTTTTTACCTTTTTTTCTGTTCAACTGCTTTGTCCAAGTGCTGAAAGATATCCTGAAACAGGATGCAGCTGGACCGACTATTAATAGTATACCCATATCCTCTTTTCCAATATTGTTTCAGATCATTTAAATATTCTAATACCTAAAAATAAAAATTTTTTAAATCATTTTTAAATCATTACATTTTTATTCATGTAACAGATTCCCTAATTTACATTTACCGTTTCAAGTACTTACTAATTGGACCCAAAGATTTATGCCACACAGAGATATGTGTTGACATGTAAATTTAAATTGTGGAATTAGAAGACAGCATATAAAAGCAAGTTAGACCTCACGGTCAAAAGTCCAGCATCCATAACAGTTCAGAACAGTGGGTTATTAAAGACATGTGTTCACATCCCCTTTCTTCTAAAATTATATTAAGATGATAGCAAAAATATATAAACATAAAAGATACACATGGAATATTATTACAGTACAGAAAGATGCCAAGAACAGATCAGGAATGTTTAAGAATTTTAGAAAGGTAGAAATCAGGAAATGAGTTACTTTGATTAATGTATCAGTTTGGCAAAAATATGGAAAACTGGTACTGCTGAAAGGAATGTATGTTGTTATAGATATTCAAAGGGCAAATTGGCAAAATCCATAAAAACATATATCATAAGACCCATTTAATTCCAATTCTAATAAAATAATATTCACAGAGGAACACAGGAGAGAACATACAAGAATGTCTTACAGCAGCACTGCTTACAGGAATCAAAAAAAATTCCAGAAATAACAAAATATCATTTATAGAGAGTTCACTAAACTATAGTATACACATCCTATGGAATATTATGCAGTTATTAAAAATTCTACTCTGTTGTCCTGGCCAGTGTGAACTTGTTGGTTGGGCATCATACCATACACCAAAAGGTTGCTGGTTCAATTTCTGGTGAGAGCGTTGAACCTGGCTTGATTCCTATAGGGACCACTCAGGAGCAGCCAATTGATGTTTCTCTTTCTCTCTCTCACTGGCCTTTCCTCTCTCTCCCTCCCTAAAAAAAAAATTAAAAAAAAAAAATTCATTGATATGTATATCAATGAAAAAAATTCTATACTGCAGATCTACAAGTACTGACATGGAAGCTCTCCAAGATATACTGCTGAATGAGAAGAACAAATTAAGAATAAAAATAGTAAAATGACCATTTGTTACCAAAACACACTCAGACACTAGACTGTTTGCATTTTTAAGAATACAGATTATAAATAGCATAGAAAAGGGTGGAAAGATATATATCAATTAACAACAGTAATTAATCTGTGGAGTTGTCTTGAATAGGAATTGGTGATTACGGTAGTCTTTTTTTACCTGAAAGTTAAACTTTGTATTCAAGTATTATTTGATCAGATAAACAACCAAAACTAGAGAATTAAAACCTGCAACCCAATAGAGGTACATGAGAGCCTGTGTAGTAGTTATGAGCCATTCTCCCAAGAGACCCTAGGCAAGCATGTCAAACTCTCAGGCGGTGGGTCATATGCCTCATTTAATGCCATGAGTTTGACATGCTTGCAAGAGAAACTAAGTAAGAATAAGCAAGAGCAGGCTAGTGCCATATAACCAAACCAAAACTAAACATACAATAAAGAGGCATCTAAATCAGAAAGTTAGCAAAAAGCCCAAAGTAAACATTTTTAAAAAGTAAAAATAAAATAAAATTAAAGTTCTATCAAATCTATTCAGAAAATAAAACAAAATGGTATCAGAAAGGAAACAGTAGCCGAAACCGGTTTGGTTCAGTGGATAGAGCGTCGGTCTGTGGACTGAAAGGTCCCGGGTTCGATTCCGGTCAAGGGCATGTACATTGGTTGCGGGCACATCCCCAATGGGGAGTGTGCAGGAGGCAGCTGATTGAGGATTCTCTCTCATCAATGTTTCTAACTCTCTATTCTTCTCTCTTCCTCTCTGTAAAAAATCAATAAAATATATTTTAAAAAATAATAAAATAAATAAAAACCAATTTTATTTTTTTTTTAAAGAAATGAAACAGTAGTTATAACTGGAAATTTATAAAATAAATTAAAAAAATTAAAAATCCTATTTGCACTATTAAAACTTTACATCAAAAAGACTTGAGCTTGGCTTGCTTGGTTCAATGGTTGAGCATTGACCTATGAACCAGGTCACGGTTCAAATTCTGATCAGGGCACATGCCTGGCTGCAAGCTTGATCCCCAGTGTGAGGTGTGCAGGAGGCACTGATCAATGATTCTCTCTCATCATTGATATTTTGCTCTCTCTCTCCCTCTCCCTTCCTCTCTGAAATCAATAAAAATTATTATATATATATACCTATGTATAGCTACAAATATAGAGCTTTATTAAGACAAATGTGAAAACTTGAATTCAGTATATTAGAACAGTGGGTTATTAAAGACATGTGTTCTATATATATAATTATAGTTTATTATGGTTATGTAGGAGAATCTTCTTGTTGAGAGGCATGCCCAAGTATTTAAGGGTGAAGTTTCTTGAGGTTTGCAAAAGAAAAAGATTACATATATGTGTTAACAGAATAAATTATCTCAAATATGTCTATATCCTAATCCCTAGAACCTCTGAATGTTATTTTACATAGTAAAAGAGAATTTGTGATTAAGTTAAAGACCTTAAGATGGGAAAATTACCCTAAACTATCCAGGTGGACCCAATATAATTACACAGATCCTTTTAAGTAGACAGGAAGGACAGTCAGGGTAGAGCAATATGTGTAGGGAGAAAAGGGAAATGCACTATTTTGACACATATATAAATGGTGACCATAACTCTCAGTTTATATCTGTACCAGCATACTTATTAATGGTGTTCATTTCACTTTAAAAGTATCCCATTTAAAGGGAAAGTTTTATCATCATCCTAAGCAAAGGGCATAACAAAGAGAGAACACAAGTTTCTGAAAAGATGAGTTGTGGAGATAAGAGAGGAGAGAAAGATCCTGGGTACCCAGGACAAAGAAAAAGATCACAGAGAGAAAATATAACACACCTATTACTTTTAGTGCTTAGCATCCTAAAGCAATCATCTACTGAGGGCCCTTCCCCCTTCTTCCACCTCAGCCACTAAGCCTAGTTGCACATTGGCACAATATAACATACAAAACCTGCGTGCTGGTCACTTGTCTGTGAGAACAAAATAAAGCCCTCCTTTACCTTCAAAGATGCATTAGTTCTCACCTTAAAAGCCTGCTTCTATCTGGAAAATAGTATACCACTTTTCAAAATTTGAGGTTAAATTTTGAAGTTAATTTATTTTCATATGGAATATTGAAGGTTTCATATGTATGCAAGAGATAAAGATGACTAAGGTTTCAAAAGTCTATATTCCTTAATGAGCCGTACATAAAAACATCCTATCTCATCCCCAGGATTCTATCCAATGCTGCAATCCTCAATACTTAAAAAAAAAAAAATTAATGCTCTCCCACCTCACCTCTCTGGCTTCTAAAATCTCAAAACTGGCCAGAATTTACCTCCCTAAAAGTTACCAGAGGCCTGTCTCCAAAGAAGGTATATGACTGAGGAGGAAAAAATATGATGTACCGTATTTTTCGGACCATAAGACGCACCGGACCATAAGACGCACCAGTTTTTAGAGAAGGGAAATGAAGAAAAAAAGATTCTGAAACAAATAGTGTCCTAAAATATTTTATGTGCATTAAAACCCAACATCACAGTCATAAACACATGTAATCAACCCTGTAAAGTAAACAGCAGCATTTAGAACCATTTTAGAGCCGGGCAAGCACACAGCGACCACACAGAGCCGGGCAAGTAAAAAAACTTTTTTTTAAAAGTATATGTGTAGGCTATATTTGGACCATAAGACGCAGGGACTTTTCCCCCCCCCTTCTGGGGGGGGAAATGTGCGTCTTATGGTCCGAAAAATACGGTAGGCAGAAAGAAACTGTACATGAATTACTGCCATCACCAGGTGGAACAGAACTCAATTTATCATGCAAACTGTTACAAAAGAAACAGATATTTGGAAAATCATTCATCCTCTCTGAGCCTTGGCTTCCTATAAAAAGGAGTTAATCCTCTCCAGCAATAAAATCTGATATTGGGTTACATTTGTTTTTAATTATAGATGGGCCTAGAAATCAAATCACAATGGAAGAATGTTTTCCAGAGTTTTATGAACCCAAACTAGTTATAAGTAGGTGGGCCCTATCTTTAGGTAAGAAAAATTATGAGTTAGTCAAAGATAGTTAATATTCAATACTCTGATTATTTTTTGAGAAGATACTTTAAGCAGCAACAAATCACGCAAAAAAGAATAGAAACTGCAAAATTAACACTTACCATTGCATCATCTGTGTCAAAAACATCACACCAAGGCGATTTAACACCTTTAATTGCCAGGTCAAATGAACAGGTGAAAAAAGCTACCTGAATCAAATCTGAGGGGGGAAAGGTAAAATTTGTAGGTTACTACTTCGCAATTTTTCAAAGGCTAAAAATCCATAGAATGCCATGTGCAGCCTGGATAAAGTTAGTTGCCACTTTCTTCCTGGCTATCAAAGATTAAGGCTAACCCTGTATAATCCAAAGGGGAGGAACAGGAACTGTTTGGAGAAACCATGAGGATATCTAAATTTCAGCCCAATTAAACTAAAAAAAATTTGTACTACAACAGCTCCAGTCCCAGGATTCAGGCTTGATTTCCAGTAGGGGGCGTACAGGAGGCAGACAATGGATGTTTCTCTCCCTCTCCCTCCTCTCTCACTAAAAATCTATTTTAAAAATCTAAAAAAAACCCACCACAAAACAAAACAAACACCAAAAAAATTGGCAAGGAATGATTTAAATGCTCAATTTATTACAATTTGCCTCTGGGGAGAAAAGGAGATGAATGAGATCCTACAGCAGAACCAAAAGACCTCAATATTCTTAAAACAACTGAAGCATAATATTAAAATTTGATAAAAGTAAGTGTGGGTATAACAACATTCATCATATTAGCCATTATTATTATGTATATGCTTGAATTATTTCCTAATAAAATAAATAATTTTTAAAACTGGCAGTGACCAAACAATTGGGAGAAAGAGAAAAAATTCAAGTTTAAATGCTAAACTCATCTAGGCATTTTCACTTGCTTGATCCTTTAAATGTTAAGCATTCAGTCTCCACGATTGTCAGATTCAAGTCTACATTTTTATCTCCAATATCTCCTATTTCTAGTCTTTTGGAAATTTATTCACAATATAATGAAATCCACAATCTCTGTATGAATATCTGTCAACACCTACTCTTATGCATTACAAATTCCTAAAAAAATTATTATTTTTTTTCTTAACTTCCCATTTCTAAGTGACCATATGTCCTGGTTTTCCATCTGCTTTCTTGGCATAATTATTAATAATGTCACTTTCACCCTCAAGTCTCCTAGGCTGCATGATAAACTGCAGTCAGCTCATCTCTACTTCAATACTTTATGACAGACACCACTGTCCATTTTCTCGGCATCTCTAAGTTTAAAGCCTAAAAAAATAAAATAAATCACACTACTGTGCCTTTCACTTTCTAAAACTTAACCCTTTCAAAACATGAACACGTACTTCTATAATTGCTTTAAAAGCACTTGTATGAGGAGATAACTTGTATGAGAAAAAATAATTTTTGTTTTATATATAATGCTGAAAGTTGAAACTTTATATACCTCTGCCTTCAAAAAAATTCCAGTATAGTAAGAATCTTGTACATTAACTTACATAAAACTCAAAGAATTTCAATCTAAAAATAGTTAAGCATGACCAAAAAAGTATTTTCTTTTTTTAAAAAAATATATATTTTATTGATGTTTTTAGAGAGGAAGGACAGGGTGAGAGAGTTAGAAACACTGATGAGAGAGAAACATCAATCTGCTGCCTCCTGCACATCCCCCACTGGAGATGTACCCACAATCAAGGTACATGCCCTTGACTGAACTCGAACCTGGCACCCTTGAGTCCACAGGCGGACACTCTATCCACTGAGCCAAACCGGTCAGGGCAAAATATTATTTTCTTATTGTAGATTCAATTGTGGGCCTTTTAAAAGGAATAACTTTATTCTTCCATATTTTTTCCATTTTCAGAGTTCAAAAACCATTTAACTACTTCAGAATTCAAATGAAAGATAATAGGTACGTTACCTGCATTTAAATTGTTGACTGGCACTTGCAAAGTAGCTGCAACTTTTTTTAAAATGTGCTGCATTTCTGGTCCAGTTTTGAAGGCTTCTACATGATAAAGAGCCGTATCATTCCTTTCCACTTCAGTTAAAAACTTTTCACAATGATCAAAGAACCTCATTAGTTTATCATTAATTCTTGGAGGTCCACACTCCATGTCTGAAAAGACATAAGCGACAATTTCAAATTAATGAATGTTTTGTTTCAAGGGTAAAAAAAACAACACTAAAAACCCATTTATTCATGTTTAAAATAAGCACATATTATTCAAAAAAGATATAGGGCAAAACTACTCCCTTTCGTAATAGTAATTCATGAGTATAAGCTAGAGAAGACTAAAACAGAGTATCAAAAGAAAATGTGTTATAACAAAACTACACAATAAAGATAATTCAAATGAATGCTTTCTTAAAGAAAGCAAAAAAAAAAAAAAAATTAGCCATGAAAGTCATAAGACATACAAAAATGTGTTATGTAAGTACTATTTCTGTTAGGCACAGAAAACTTGAAAAACTAAAAATAGCAAAATTTCTTTTTTTTTTAGTTCTTTTAAAAATATATATATTTTATTGATTTTGAACAGAGAGGAAGGGAGAGTGAGTTAGAAACATCGATGAGAGTCATCGATCAGCTGCCTCTTGCACACCCCTCACTGGGGATATGCCCGCAACTAAGGTACATGCCCTTGACCGGAATCGAACCTGGGACCCTTCAGTCCCCAAGCCAACGCGCTATCCATTGAGCCAAACCGGTTTGGGCAAAATAGCAAAATTTCTAATTACTAGGTTAGAGATCATTCAAAAGATATAATCTATTTTTCTACTCTAAGCCAAAGCCTAAAAACATTTTATTTTCTAAATTAACTTCCTCAACCCTACTACTAACAATGGCACAAAATACATCTACACTTTTGTTTTTCATTGTGCTAGGAGCTTCTGATTTGGTTTGTTTTCTAACTGAAGCTCCCCCAAATTTCCCATTTAAAATTTTACAAGTTGTATTATTTCCTCAACTTGGGAACAAGTATGTATTGGAAAAAGCATTCATAATCATGCATCAACCACTGGGATGAATTTTCATTGACCATGAAAAGAACACAAGTATACTATTTCTGTATATAAAATGAGAAAATTAAATCTAGTTACACTGTTTTGCTTTAGATGGGTGTGGAAAACACACACACACACACACACACACACATATATATGTGTATATATATATATCCACTTCAGGACCTGAATGTATAATTCTGCCCACTTTAATTGCAAATTAGATTACAATTCTTAAGAAAGCATGTTAAGTAGGAAAGTAAGTGATCTGTCATCTTTCTGTGATCTCAAAACACAATTTTCCAGGTGGGTCAGGATATTTCATCCTTGCTATTATCTAATACTGCTGCTCTTTAAACAGAAACAAAGGCATTGTTGTTTCTGTAAGAATACAAAATTTAATTATGTCCTCCCTTAAAAGCCCAAATGTACACAACAGCCAAATTGTCTCCAGATAATAATTAGGTAGGCAAAAATGTTTATTCTGAGACTGAAAACGGTGAGGGGGGTAGGCTTATTTTGGACTCTTCTGATTCCTGGCTTCGTACTTCAAGGCCAATGTCACCTAGAAGGTCCAATGGCCCCTTTTTGTCTATACTATACAGGGTGGGCCAAAAGACGTTTACAGTTGTGAGTATGCAAAACAGAGTTTATTCCTGTATTATTATTTATTGTATTGTTTTCCATATGAACAACTGTAAACCTACTTTTACCCCACCTTGTATAAACTATGCTATACTAAAGTATATTCTACTTTCAACATTCAGTTAATTTAACTTCTTCATGGGGAATTTTCACTCATATTAATAGAAAAGGCCTAGCTATAACTAAAAAGCACAATTCAACAATGACTAATTCCAAGTCAGCCAAATAAATCACAAGGCATGGAAGAACCCTGGGCTACGGCTGCACTGCTTAGGGATGCTACTGGAGAAATGAGAAACCAGTCTACTTCATTTTGCACTTGGACTCGGAAACGAAGTGATGTCTCTCCTCAACTCTGACCTTAAAACTGATCAAAAAAGTATTCACACTCGATCATGTCTCCGGCACAAAAATGTGATGTTTTTACTCTTATCCTTAAGATACAGACAAACAGAAGTTATTTATATAGTGTGAGGATTAAGAGACAAGCTCTAAATCAGATTCTCTGGGTCCATAGCAAGCTATATCAAATTAGACAAATTATTTAGTGTTTGTTTCTCAAAAAATACTATCCACCTCAGGGAGCTGTTGCACACATAGCAGGTATTAAATGTTTGCTATTAGTGTCTACTGAACATTTTCTGAAGGGGGGAGCATAATTCCTGGGAAACAGAAGACCTGGAATCTGGGCCTGAGTCCACAGGGCAAATTCTTGGGCTCAGCTCTCCCACCTTTAAATTAAAAGGGCTCTGCCAGATGGAATCTCAAATTTTGCAAAAGAATAAGTAATGACATAAATTAGTGAAGTACTGCGTGTTACCACGGACCACAGCTACAACGAAGGTCACTCTACAGTACACATAAGAACAAAACAGGAAAAAAAAAAAAAAAAAAAAAAAAGCAGATCAGTAAGGAAAATTTGAGAATATCTTCCCAATATAGGAGATAGGTCTAGAACCAACATCTGGGGGGGGGGAATGATGTAAAAAAAAAAAAAATCCAAATAGTATCAGAAACAAAGCCTGAGGAAGAAAGTTCTAGATGGTATTTAAAGCGTGCCCAATTGCAGAACGAGCAGCCAGGGAGGGAAGAAAAGGAGGGCTTGTTTGCTCAGAGGGGGCAATTCGATCTGGGAATGGATGATCAGAAACGGCCCTGGTCGGTCTCTTTTTCCTCCTGGATCCCCTGATGTCTACTACCACCACGTCCTGCACGTGGAAGATGCCATATTCACACCTGATAAACGAACAAATAAATGGGGTATGTATGAGAAGCGAGATGGCCAAGTCGTCCAAGTTCAAATCCAGACCAAACCATGGGAGAGATGGGGGTTGAGAGACAGAGGGGAGTGAAAGGCCGGGACTGGGGAAGTCCGGGATCGGGGGCAGGGGACTGGCCCGGCGCCCCCGGAGGTCACCTGCCACGTCGGGGGGCGTGAGGCCCGGGTGGTGGTGCTGCCACAGCCCCTTGAGGAAGGCGGCGCCGCTCTCCACGCAGCGGTGCTTGGAGCTGGTGACGAGCTGCAGGCGGCCGTAGTTCTCGCGGCGGAAGAGGGCCGGGAAGAGGGCGGCCAGGCGCTGCGCCAGCTGCCGCATGTCCTGCCGCCCCTTCTCTACCAGCTGCCCGTCCATCCAGTCCGCGTACCACAGCGGCCAGGCGGCCAGCGCGGCGCCCAGGTCTCGGCTGCCGGCGGCCGGGTCGGCCCGGGGCCCGCGGGCCTCCAGCAGCCCGTGCAGCTGCCGCAGCTTGCGGATCTGCTTGGCCGTCGGGTAGCGGGTGCCGTGGCGGATGAGGCCGACCAGCTGCACCGGGGTGCAGGTCTCCTCCAGCAGCTCCGGGTCGCGCCGCGGCGACACGGGGTCGCGCCGCAGCCCGGGGTTGGCATCCTCGTAGCGGGTTTTGGTGCCGAAGAAGGGGCTGAGCGCCGAGACCGCGGGGGGCTCCGGCTCCGGGAGGGAGCAGCGCGACAGCGACGAGAGCAGAGCCACCGCCAGGACCGCGGAGGGAGGCGAGGGAGCCCCGCGCAGGCAGCGGGCGCCGCGGAGCATGGTGCGCGTGGGCCCGCGAGGGGGGCGGGACCGGGCGGCAGCCGCCGACTTCCGGCTCCGGCGAGCAGGGGGGGCGGGACTAGGCGTCGCTTCCGGTGGAGACCCTCCAGGAACAGCCGCTGGTGATGGACCTTGGGCGCCGGCGGGAAGAGGCGAGGAGCCGCGTGGCCCTGGGCTCAAATGAAACCGGAGAGAAGCCCGAGGAGCTTTGGGGACCGGCGGTTTGGGCGGCGCCGGCGGCGCTGGCCCGGATGTGGGCGAGTTTCCTCGTCGGGCGCAGGTGCCTCAGGGCTGACGCCACAACGCCCCCGCTGTCTGAAGGGTCAAAGGTGTGAATAAGCCCGGACAAAGCCTGAGCCTCCACAGTTGCAAAACAGGAACACCTTTGTACAGCTGGCTCTGTATCACCATCCTTACCCGTTCTGTTCTGCTTTTCAAAATATAGTCTGAACCATCTCATCAAGTCCACCCGAGGCGGTTGGTAATAGTGCAGACCCTGGGCCCTGCCCTGCCATGCCTTCTGAGGCCCTAGGTTAGTGGTGTCGAACTCAATCAGAGAAGGGGCCAAAATCTAAAATCCAGCCTAAATCGCGGGCCGAATGGTTTACTGAACAGTCATAAACTGTCATTGTGATGGAAACGCAGCAGAGTGCAGTGATGACAGCGCGGTGCGGGCCACATTGCAAGGCCTGGCGGGATGGATTTGGCCCGCGGGCCTTGTGTTTGACACATGTGCCCTAGGTGTTTGTACACAAACAATTCACAGCAAGGCGGAGGAGAACCTGGAAGGAGGCTCAGTTCTCCAGGAAATTTAATTCCTTAGCGTTTGGTTTGGTCTCTTGACCCAGACCAGCAATGCTGACTAATATGTGAGGCCGCACCCCAGGAGTATTATTGTGTGTGTTGATCCTGAAGGCTAGAGAGTAAGATCCGGATCATTTGGGTGCATTGAGTCATGGCCCAACAGATTTACTCCGTTTTTAAATGTGAGTTCATCTGCTTATGTGAAGCAAACAAGCTCTGCCACTGTTAGAAGTTCAAACTCGATGCAAAATGACTCACATCAGCAGCTAGGTTTTTTTTTGTTTGTTGGTTATTGCTCAGAAATCTTTGACACTCCCCCACCCCAACCCCACCCCCAATCGTAACTCTGAACAATATCTTATTTTCTCCACTTGAACCCCAGTTTATGGGCCAGTTGGAAAAAAATGTAAGTGTTGAAGTTTAGGTCAGTCTTTGTAAGTGTAGCTTTTCCTTCAAAGGCACTAGTAAACTGCTCTTGGCAAGTCATCTCCATGCTTACTCTGTCCTTAAGTGCCTCTCTGATCCAGAGGGGTGTGCCTCTAAACGTTAACCTATGAAGAAACTATCAAGTCTTCCAAAGGCATCACTCCTTCCCAGTGAAGCAATCTTTACAGACCCTAACTATTTACAGAACCTATATCATGCATTTGATATTTGGCCCTAGCTTGATTTTATTTTTCCTTTAATCACTCATCTGTTAATTTTATGCTGTTTATATACTCACTAGAGTCCCAGTGCAGGAAATTCGTGTGTGTGTGTGTGTGGGGGGGGGGGGGCGGTAGTAGGGGGGGAGAGGCAGGGGTCTCCTCAGTCCAGCCTGCCTCCTCTTACAGTCCAGAAGCCCTCAAGGGATGTCTTACTGATGGCTTAGGCGACAGGCTGATCAGGGGAAGGCGCCACCCCCATTACCCTGCTGCTGCTGCCACTGCCAGCCACTGCAGCCACCAAGGCATTTTCATCAACACAGACTCCATTCCCTTCCCCATAGAAAAAAAATGATAACTTTCTATAGGCATTTTCATGATGTCTCTTTCATAGGATATGACATTTCTTTCATTATTTTTATTTTACTCTCACCTGAGGATATTTTCCATTAATTTTTAGAGAGGATGGAAGAGTGAAGGAAAGATAGAAACATCAATGTGAGAGGGACACTTCGATTGGTTGCCTCCTGGGCCCTGGCCAGGGAGGAGCCTGCAACCTAGGTACATGCCCTTGATCAGAATTGAACTTGGACCCTGTGGTCTGCAGGCTGAGGCTCTATCCACTAAACCAAACCGGCCAAGGCAGGATATGACATTTCTTAGCCCCTCCAGCAGGGAACCTTTGTTTTTTCCTACAAGAGTGAGGTGGAAAAACCTTATATCACCTTCTTGGATTCTTATTACCCAAGTTACCAAGAACACTGTGAGTGGCATACACACACACACACACACACACACACACACAGAGACCAACTTCAGTTATTTTGATGCCAAGCCAAGATGACAAATGATAAGATAAAATTAAGCAATGCCTTTATACTTTTGGTTAGAAAAAAACAAAAACAGATATAGTATAAAGAGGACATAAACTTTGGATCCAGACTCCAAGCTCAGCCACACACATTAACTGAGTGATCTTAGCCTTAGGTTCTTTATCTGAAAATTAGGAATATTGGAACTACACCATATAATTATTGTAAGAATCAGAGATTGTAATCAGAAAAAAAACATGAGTGATCTTTCTCCATTGTTAATGGGAGTTGGGTACTTGGGTTACCATTGGGATAAGCATTTCTGGAGGCCCCCATGGGAGGCTGAGATATGGTAGAAAGCTTTATTTTTGTGGAATTAGATTTCTCCATTTCCAAAATCCCATTTCTCTTAGTTCAGTCATGGAAGTATAGTTGGGGTTTTAGTAAAGCTAGAAGCAGAGCCAGTGTCCAGTTTCCTTTCCATGTTGGAGCTGGGTCCGGTTCAGCATCAGGCTAGTTGCAGTCTATTAGTCCATTGTGTGTGGGGGCTGCATGGCCGTGGACCATGTAGGCAAATGCAAGGTAGCCCTACAAACCCAGAGTCACACAAGTCCCAAGAGTCCCCAAAGCAGTAAGAGTGCCAAGAGCCCAAGAGAGCAAATTTCTTTGTTTAGGAAATTAAATATCCCAAATTCTGCACTCTTGTAGTGGCCATGCCCATTTTGTTCTCAAGGTGTGACTGAGAGTAAGCACCTTCCCTATGTCCCACTTACTGGGCAGGCGCCTATCTCCCCTTTGTTGGTCCCGTGGGGAGTGTAGTAGCTTCCTAGCGAAGATCTGCCCAATGACATACCTATGTCATTGGGCAGATCTTCCCTTGGCTCCTTTCCTGTTAATAATAACTGGTTAATTACAATAGTATTAAGATGATGTATTTAAAACCCATAAAATAGGCTTCTGTGAGTTGTATTCTTATCATTAATAATGTTCAACATTATTATTCCAATATTAACATTCTTAGCGTTCTAGCAACTATACGATATAAACTTGCTTCCACATCAAAGTGAATGACATTCACGGACAAGACATGCATCAAAGATCATTTCAAAACTTTTTTAATAATAAAAAATCACCTCACTTAAAGATGGGTCTCATGCTTAAAGCAGTGAGCACTTTTGAGAAGTTTTAAGAAACTGACAGACCCTGCTTATCTTTTCATGACAGGAACATGTCTTAATTCTTTGGCCAGCCTATAAGTTAGCTACCCTTTGAAATAGTTGCCCACATTGTCCAATTAGTTGGTACATAGAATTTACATGGTATAAAATATAGCTGCTCTTTTGCAAAAACTATGGATGGATTGCTCTCCCTCATAAGAAGTTGTGGGTATGGTAGTAGTGTATTTGGCAAATCTACAACAGCACAAATGATATGATAGAAAATTAATGACTCAGGTTCCTTAAAGAGATGGGAGGAAATGGAACCAAGAGCACTGCTAGAATTTGATTTGAACCAGAAGGAGAGAAGACCTGAGGGGAGATTGGAAAGGATGTATATGGGTAAATCTGTTAGTCCAGTAGGAGAGAATTCCTGGATTTCAAGCCTGGTAGCCTCAGTTTTTTGTTTGTTTGTTTTTTTCAGTGATGCAGTAGGCAAAAACTTGTCTGAAGAAATGGAATGAGAGTTAAATCTTATGGAATTTGGAAATGGCATAGATTTGCAATTGAGAGAAATGGGAAATGATTTGAGAGAAACAAGAAATATGTTAAAAGTTGGATGGTCAGCTCTGAGGATCTGAGAATATAACACTTGAATCTGTTATACCTTTCAGAATGAAAAGGAAAAAGTTGAAGTCTGTTTTCCTACATTATTTCAACTTGTCTTAAGTAGAATTTTTTTTTATTCAATCAACTACATTAAAGAATAGGGTAATTATTTTTGCCAGATTATTCATAGGACTTCTAAAATAGGTATTTTGTCTTAAGATTGCGTGATGTCATATATGGTATTTTAAGTTACAGCTTTCTACTGTACTTTTAAAATATTTATTTTAAAAGATGGTTTTTCTGGTGAAGAAACAATAAAGGAAAAAGCTAAATTATGAGGGGAAAAGGAAAGGCTGTCTATGTAAAGTAAGAACTCAGTTTCTGAAGTTAGACTTTCTGGTATCTGAATTCCAGCTTCATCCTTAATATCTGTGAGATCTTGAGTAAGTTAAACTCTGTTGCCTCCATTTGTTTTCCTTTGTACAGTGGGGATAAACCTATGTCATGGATTGTTGAGAGGATTAAATTGGACAATTTACATAAAGACTTTATGTATAGTTCCTGGCCCCGAGTTACTTTTAAGGAGCATTAGAGTGTTTCTTATTATCACTTTTCCTTTAATCAAGTAAACTGAAAAAAAAAAAAAAAGGCCAGTTTTTCATAGATATGGGTTATCTCACAACTACATTAAGCAACTAAGTTTCTCTGTAGGCCAAGAAGGTCTTAATTCCAGCATCTTACTTCCCTAACATTTTATCTTTTCTTTGCCAGTTATTGATATAGTACTTTTTATTATTGCAGTAGAAGAAGGCAACAGAAGAGTGGCCCATGTGCATGGACAGGGCTGGAGTGATTCTTGCTTCAACAGCAGTCCCTTCAACCTTGCTTGAATGGAGGCTGAGTAGATCACAAGCTTCGCAGACTACAAGATACCTTTGCTCAAAAGGAACCACAATTGTTCCCCAGATATCAAAGCTAAGCAGAGTTGTAAATTGTTTCAACTTATGAATAAAACTCCCCTGAACCACACCAAAGCTATAAACTTGACATATAGTTTTACCCTGCTAAGGGAGTTATTTTGTAGTGACAAACTTTTCTTCTGGTGGCCTGACACATCCTAGGAGGACTTTGAGGTTGGGAATTTTTCCTTCCCATCAAATGCTGGTTCTAAATCCACAAAACTGTTTGAGAAACCAGATACAAAATTATGGTAAGTTTAAATTATTTTAATGATTTGCTATTCCCATTTAATAGGGTAAACTGAAGCTATTTACTTTCTAATCTTGTCATATTATTACTTTCCTACACAAGCCAGCATTGTTGCTCAGAAACATAATTTCCTCCAGAAATCCCCTTCATCCAAAATATATTGTTATCCCATCACAAAGATAAATAATGGATTCCAAATCCTGGTAAAAAAAAAAAAAAAAAAAAAAAAAAAATCCCTCTTATCCCTTGTATTTTTTTTAAGAACAAGCATAGGAAAAAAAAAAAAAAGTAATTGTGTTTTAACATCTTACATTTTTCTGAAATGTGAGAAAAAATTCCCAAAATTGAAAAATCTCTTTGGGCTATTGGGTTCTTAAGACAACCGGTTAGTTAGCTGAGTTTAAAGTCATCAATGTTTCCTTGTCATTCCAAACAATGAAGAGCTTTCAGAACAGTTCTTTATTAGTTCATCAGGAAAGCTGTTTTTTTCCTTAGTCCATTAATGTCAATTTCATGTTGTCTCAGGCATGAACCAATCTTCTTTCAGTTTTTGTTCACTATTTTATTATAAAATTTATTATTTATTAAATCCATATCATTGCTTTGCCTATATTACATACAGTAAATATTAAAACCAAACAATACGTAAGCTAAGAAAAGCAATGTAGGCACCTGTGGATTCACACATTTGGCTGCAGGCACTTTTGTAAACAGGACAGTTCACATTCCAGTTGAAGCAATCATTATGATTACACAACACCTCTCATTACCCCACTTTATCTTTCTTGTATTACATCTTACACTGCCTTATTGATTCTATACTCCAAGAGTTAAAACAGTTTCTGCTAAGTAATTCATTGGTTAATACTTTAGATATAGGGGCCATGATGAAAACTTTTTGATTCCAAAGTATTCATCCAATATCTAACTTTAAGTAGACTGTCAGCAACTATTTGTTGAAAAGATGTATACCTGAATGAATACATGAAAATAGAATAAACAGGCAGTGTGGGCAGCTAAGATGTGGAAATGATACTGCTTTGCATTTATGCAGTGTAATTATCTTTCCAGCTATCCCATGACAGATATTTATATCATGTTGTGAATGTGGAAATTAAGACAAACAGAGGTCAGATGCCTTACTTAAAGTCATCCAACAAGAATTTAGTAGAACCAGTTCTAGAATGTGATTGATAAAAACAGCTATTTTTGTGTTTCTTTTCCTGATACCTACCTTATTCTTGACAAATGAAAAGTGACTTCAAAAACTGTCACATAGCTAGGACTAAAAGCATAAACGTTAACACTATTGCTATACAGTTACTATTGGTTAACTATCCAACATTTATTCTTCCTTTTGCCTTGGATTCTAGGTGTAGGTATTCGAAGAAGATCTCTCTATCTCCAAATCAGGAAAAAAATCATGATTGTTTTAAACCAATCCTATATTTTTCTTACCGGTTTTGGTTTCAAAAGAGCATGTGACTTAATTCTGGCCACCGAACAATGAAAGAGACAAATGATGGGATGCTTAACAGTCAACACTTTACAGAGTCAGTGAATTGGAGATCTTATTGAGCCACAGGAATATTGCAGTTTGCACAATAAAATATGCTGGAAGGAAAGAAGATGATGTCCTTTGAATAAAATGCTTAAAATGAATATTGTGAGGTGGTGCAATAGTTGTTATTGATGGAATGAGATTATGAGATTAAGAAAGGTGAGCCAAAACAAGTTATAGAATACAAATCTTTTAGAAGGTGGTAAAAAAAAAAAAAAAAAAAAAAAAAAAAAAAAAAAAAAAAAAAAAAAAAAAGAGAAGAAATTAAGAGGCCAAGAAGTCCTAGCTCAAACCTTTTGTTCTTGGGTCTAAACTGTTCCCACTGGATTTAAGCCTACTAGCTTCTCACCTTCCAATAGTCTACACTCCTCTCCTCACCCCAATCCTAAAAATCCCTAGTTCACTCAGCAACTGTTCCATGAATCTTACTAAAATAAATTATTTTACACAGACATTTTAATTTTAATAGATACTATTGGTGATTTGATTCGAAAAGATGAAATAGATTAACAGCACGGAGATGCCAAAATTTTTAAATATAATCTTTAAAAATTTCATTCTTAAAATGTGAAAGGAAGATCCACACAAGGAAAAGGCAATTGTCCTGGACACCTGCTGCAGCCATCTTGCAACCACAGAGGAGACAACTTAAAAACAAAGCCAACACAATGAAATGACTCAGAAGAAAGTGGAAAGACCTGAGTCCTTGATGATGCTATTGAGCTGATGAATTAAACCTGGAGTATTCCAACTATGGGCTTCTTTTCAAAGGTAATACCGTAAATGTCTTTATTGCTTAAACCAGTGTTTCATTATTTTCTGTAGAAAGCCTCCCAATTCAGGTAAGTATCCATTAACAACCCCTTAGTCTAAACTTTAGACTAACTACCCCTTAGTCTAAACCACATGTGTCAAACACAAGGCCCGTGGGCCAAATCCGTCCCTCCAGGCCTTGCAATGTGGCCCGCACCGCGCTGTCATCACTGCACTCCGCTGCGTTTCCATCACAATGACAGTTTATGACTGTTCAGTAAACCATTCAGCCCTCGATTTAGGCTGGATTTTAGATTTTGGCCCCTTCTCTGATTGAGTTCGACACCCCTACTAAAGGATGTCTTTTCGAGCTTTTCGATTTCTGCTGAAGTTTTGTTTTTTTTTTGTTTTGTTTTGTTTTGTTTTTTTTTTAACAGAAAATCCCATCTCCTTAGATATGATCATGAGTCTCTAACTCAGAAAAATCATAATTCTGAAACATAGGAAGCACTGGGTAGGTGGGTTGGATGAGGTATCTGGTAATGGAGGGCATCCTGGGTCAGGTAAGATGAAGTGTGAAAGCAAAGCAAGGGATGCAGATGAAAATCAGAGAGAAAGTAACTCTTCTGAGCAGACCTTTAGAAAAGGACATATGAGCTACATCTTTGGGGAGAATTGTGGAACCCACATTATAGTAATTGTGTCAATTACAGCCATGATCTTTTCTCAAGAGGGGAAAATCAGTGTTTATAGAATGACAGGTGGTTCTTGTCCTGCTTATTTTCTTCAGAAACAGACCAAATTCTGATATGTCTCATGATGACATGATAATCTAGAAATGAGATTTCAATTTTTCCTGTAAATACTCAGGAGGCCCATGGTATTGCTCTCTTTCAGTCTGGCACAAGTCTCACAAAATAGAAGATGCCTTAACATATTCTCGTCCACGACCTCTTGCCTTTTCCAAATATCTTTATAAAGACGTAGTAATATTCTGTTGTGAATTATTTGAGAGCTGTCCATAAGGATTTAAACAGTAAATCTAACCAATAGACTGCTCTTGGCCTCAGGACTCAGAAATACTTCTTTATTCGTAGAGTTTAGGCATTTGAGGAAAAATTAATTCTTGAATATATTGTATTCATTGAGTTTGTAGCCATAAAGAGGAAGGAAATAAGATTAGAGCAGAAGTAAATGAAAAAAATAATCAATGGAAAAAAAATGGTTCTTTGAAAAGACCAATGGATTAACAAATCTTTAGCTGGATTAACTAAGGAAAAAAGACAGTATACTCAAATTACTAAAATCAGAAATTAATAAGGGGACATTGATGAAGGTCATAATGTAGATAATATACAATTTACAATTCATTTGCCAAATACAAAGGATTGTACTAAAACCTTTACTGACTTTATTTCAAAAACCTTTACAACCTTTTTAGATAGGTATCATTATCCTCTTTTACAGGTGAGAAAACAGGCTCTTTGAGGTTAACTAATATATTTAAGGTCATGCAGTCATGGTATGAATATGCATGTGCTGAAAGAGAATGGAAAAGTCAGGAGTTATTTTTATATTCCTATAATAGTGTAAGGATAGTTGTTATCTAGAAAATGAAAGTCTGAGCAAAATAAAGCAAGCAGAAAGAAACATTAGGTTGGACAATTTTCTTTATTCAGGATAGCTAGGCTATAGTGCAGACAAGAATTCAGGAAAGCAGTAGACAACCAGAGATTTCTGTGTTGGGTATTTTAAAGTTCACAAACCTTAGAAGCTCTTAAAAGAAGATTCCATTTTTTAAAAACTTCTTTGTAAGAACATTGCTACATTATACATTAGGCACACATTTTATTTATTGAAGTTTTTGTAATTTTTATTACTCATACAACTAGAATATTTCATGTATATTTTACATGTATGTCTTGCAAGTAATAGCAAATCTACCATGCTTTCTTTGAAGCAAGAAGCAGTGGTACTTAGTACACGGCTACTTTTATTTGTTACCTCTGTTTTGCATAGGAATACAATAAAACATTTTTAAGAAACTCAAAATTGTAAAGGAGAATGGATAAAAATAGTTGATGATTTAGGATTTAGATGATGGATAGCTGGTATTTCTTTTAAAAACGTTTTTCTTGATTCTTAATATTTGAACTAATTACTGCAGTGGAGTTTCTGCCCTCAGATCAAATTCCAATGATAAGGTATCTGTTTTTGACATGAGCAATAAGTGGAGTATTTAGGATTAAACAAAATACCAAAAGTCACAGGACAGAGGGGGTGAGGAAAGTGTAAAGTGATAAGAGGCCCGTCAGCCTAGCGTGGTTGTTTTACCGTGATAGAGCAGAGTAGAAACTTGTCAGAAAGGAAAGGTGACAGGCATAAGATAAATATGTGTCCACATTATCCAATGTCAAGAGCTGGACACACTATTTTTGAATTTTTATCCTCAAGATGCAAATAACAGCCTTATGAGAAATTGAATGTTAAATATACATATATTAAAGTGATTTTGCTTAGTGGCACATATATTCATTCATTTATTTGACAGATAGTTACTGAGTGGCTACTTGGTAGTTTTTAGGCTTCAGAAGTAACCCAAAATTATAGTTTCATTTCAGTCATTTTACCTCTTTCTACTGTTCTCATTCTTGACCCTTCAGCTTTCCCCCTCCTCCATCAGGCTTTGGGACTTAACAACTAATAACGTTAAGTCTCCAGTGAAAGGAGTAACAGGGCATTTAGAGTGCTTTCAACTTTACAAAACTATCAGTGGAGTAGAACAAATATAACTTGTTAATGTTTTAAACTCAATATTTGTTCAAATTATTGCATTGCCTTGAGGTCTTGAAGGATACAATATACTGTGAAGGAAAAGCAGAAGGTGCTTATGAGAGAAGTAGATTAGGAGCACCTATTTTATCTTTAAAACATTAGAACAACCCCTTTGGAGAAGTGTCGTTTGCCCTTGCCCAACCAGTCTATAGGCACAAGGGGCCAACGTATAGTTTGACAAAGTCAGATTACTTGCAATGAGGGAGATCACACAGAAAAACTGTGAGGCATTTGACCAAACAACAAAAAGATAAATGTTATTGTAGAATTTTGGGTAAGAATGGAGTTTGGGCGACATTTAAGAGAGCTCCAAATCCTAACCACTAGACCACCAGGGATGCTGGCATTGGGCGACATTTAAATGAAGCAGTGTTTGGATAGATTCAAAGTAAATCAGAGGTCAACATCAGGTCTGGGAAGAATCCAGGGTCGTTTTCTTGGAAACTACATAAAGTTAAAGTAGATGTGGACTGTTGTGTCCAGAAGCCCCTTATCTTAAGCTCTTTCCTTGCTTGAAAATTGAGGCTAATTCCCTATGAGATTCTCAAGAACCTCATTCCCAGACAAGAGTGGGATGTTTTATTCTTAATAATGTAGTTTTAAATAACAAAACTTCTGATAGTCTGTGGTTTTAAAGAAAAGTTTCCTTAGCAATTAAGAAGATAGTAATCACTGAAAGGAGGGATTGTTAGAACTTTTTATAGAATGTTCTTGGAAGAAATAGTTTCCTATAAACTTTGCAGCTGGTTTTATCTATGTTTATTATACCAGCCTGATGAGTGATGGAGCAGATATTTACTTTCTAAGTCTTAGCTAATACTTAGTCTAAAAGAGATAACCAGCCAAGAGAGTGGAAAAGAACTTCCCAGGCAGAAAAACAAATATGAAGGTTGTGAACTTGAAAAGATCTTGATACATTCAAGAACTTAAAAGCTAATAGAACAGTAAGACTTGAAATGAGATGGGAGCAATAGGCAGAAAACTGTTAGTTTTATTAAGGATTTTACATTTTACCAAAGAGCAAAGAGAAATTACTAAAGGGTTCTAATTAGAGGAGTTTCCCAATCTTGAAGTACTACGATGGAGAATGCATTGTCGGGGCCATAGTGGAAAATGGACTCATTGCAAAAGAAAATGGTGGGGGTTTTTTGTTTTTGTTTTTTTCTTTCTTTTCTCAAACAATCCACCAAAGCACCTGTATATTTCATGCAGATATGAGTCTGTTTTTGTATCTGATGAACTTTTATATTGAAAAGATGACCTGGGCTACAGATGACTCTATTCCATGGTTCCTACACTGTATGGCCATAGGATGCAAAGCCTAAATTAGGAAGTCTTAAAAATTTCTCTCATAACTTTAAAATGGTGTGTAAAAGCTAGATAATGTATTATATTTATTAAATCTAGCTTAATTATACATCCACTAAACTGATTTCAATAGCAGGTTTAGATGGATGAAAAGATTAAGCACAGATACCACTTGGACAAAAAAAAAAAAAAGTTTATTTATCTAAACAACACAAAAGAAAGTCAATACAATTAAAATACATGGGCAAAATTTTCCAAAACATACTACATGTGTATGTAGCTTCCTGGCCCAAATACCTCCCCAGAGAATGTACTTGCAGATGATGACTGTTTCATAAGAATCCTATCTACCAGGAACTCACCAAACTTTGCACTTAGCAGTGGCAGTGCCCTTGACTGAACAAAAGGCCCTGCAAATTAGCCTTCAAAAGAAAAGCACATACTTGGATGGTGTGTGGAGGGGCAGTGGCGTGACATGCACAACTCAGTCGTGATTGATTTTCCTCATAAAAAGCCAGGTTAGGTACATTATGTGATTTTCTAACTGATGGAGTAGCAGTTACAGGATATTGGGTCCTCATATATCCTTACCATAAATCCAAAGAATTAGGTCTCAAATCTTCAGTTTGTTCTCTGGAAGCAGAGAAGTCTCTCTAAGTCTAGTCATATATACATATATACACACATACAGTG